GCCCCCGCCCCCAGGTTCTCTCTGCGGCCGGCGCGTCCTCGGTCGCCGAGCTGCTCGGCTGGGGCGGCGCAGAGATCGCGAGCGCGTTGTGGCGCTCCGCGGCGCCGGTGGCGCTGACCGGCCGCGAGCCGATGTGCGTCATGTACACCTCGGGCACCTCCGGCTACAAGCCTCGCGGCTTGGTGTATGACCATGCCGGGCTAAGCTGCGGCGCCGTCCTAACCATGGAGACGGTGCTCGACGTGCGGCGCGGCTCGGATGTGGTACTCGTGCGCGCGGCGCCCTCGTGGATCACCGGCCAGGCGTACTCTCTCCCCACCTCTCCCCACCTCTCCCCACCTCTCCCCACCTCTCCCCACCTCTCCCCACCTCTCCCCACCTCTCCCCACCTCTCCCCACCTCTCCCCACCTCTCCCCTCATGAATCACTGGCCAGGCGTACGCCGTCGCCGGCGCGCTCGGCTGCCGCTGCACGACCGTGCTCGGCCCGTGGGACGAGCTGGCGCCGTCGACCCTCTCCGCCGTGATGGCGCACGCGCGCGTGACCGGCTTCATCGCCTCGGCGTCGGTGCTCAAGCGCGCACTCGGCCGCGGCGAGCGCGGGCGGGAGCCGGGCGCGGCACATTTGCGCGTCGGCGTCTCGTGCGGCGCGCCGCTCTCCGCCGCCGCTCCAACCTCACGATGTCCCGCTGGTTGACGGACTCGAGCTGTCCCTTAGGCGAGCCGCTCTCCGCCACGGCGCACGAGCTGGCGATGGAGTCGCTCGCCTCGCACTACATCAACGCGTATTGGGCGACGGAGCACGGCGTGATGGTCCTCGCGCCAACTTACGGCAACGCGGAGCAGCCGGTGCGCGCCGACGCGAGGATGCGAGAGCTGCCTTGGGTCGACGCAGCGGTGTGGGTGCCCGACGCTCCGGCCTCGCAGGGGGGCGAGGGGGGCGGGCGGGCCAGCCAGCGCGTGGCCGCTTGCGACGACGCCGCCGGTTCCCTCGCCGGCGCCCCGCTGCGCGAGGTCGGCTCGTCGGCGCTGCTACGGCCGTGGGGGGCGAGTGCTCCAGGCGCGAGCTTCCACACCGCGAGCCAAGACGGCTCCGAGACGGGCGTGCTCGTGTGCCGCCGGCCGTGGCCCGCGATGGCGCGGACGGTGTGGGGCCGGGTCGACGAGCTGGGCACCGCCGGCTGGCGCGGCGACCACGAGCTCTACGCGCGCGCCTACTGGCCAGAGTACCTGGTCGACGGCGAGCGCGAGCGCGCCTTCTCGCTCGGCGATCTCGCGCAGCGGTGGGGGGACGGGTCCGTCTCCGTCATCGGCCGCCACCACGAGCTGATGCTCAGCAGCGGCACCGACCACGAGCGCTCTCCCGGTCGCAAGGCGGCGGCCGGCGCCGGCCGCGTGTGCGTGTGCGAGGTCGAGAACACGCTGCTCAAGCAGCGGGCGGTGCTCGACTGCCTGGTGGTGGTCGTGCCGGTCGGGCCAGAGGCGGGCGAGCTGCCGCGCACGAGGAGCGAGGGCGGCCGGCGCGGCGCTGGCGCGCCGGCGGAGATGGCGCCGGTGGCGTGCCTCGTGCTGCAGGAGGGGTGCGCGCTCAACGAGGAGCTGGTGGCGGCGCTCAAAAAGCTGGTGCACGAGGCGCACGGCGAGCATTGCGTCCCGACCGACCTGATCCCGATCGGCGCGATCCCGCGCACGCACAACTCCAAGCCGATGCGGCAGGTCGTCGGCCAGCTCTTTGCCGGCAACTTTGGAGGCGACGTGGCGGAGATATCGAACCCAGAATGCCTCACGGAGCTCGGCGCAACGATAGCAGATTGGCGCGCCATGCGCGCTAGCCCCGTCCTGGACGAGCTGCCCTGAACGAGAACGCGCTCTGCCGAGGCGGTTATGTGTGCGTGGGCCCTTACGGCTTTTTTATATTGGCACCCAATTCTGGCAGCGTCGTTGGAGCCCTACGCCACTACACCAAAATTCAGATATACACGTTGACGTACCAGGTACCACCTCCTGAATACACCCCCCGCTCAGACGCTCAGACGACAGCGAGCAACCGTTGGCCCTCGGGCACCACCCCATTTCTTTCGCTGCAGAACGGCTCGCTCACCGCCTCGCCCGTCCAAGTGCCTGGGTCTCCTCTGCTCGGCTCCACGAGCTCCACGACGCTCCAGGACGAGTCGTGCCTGGCAGGAGCGCAGCCTGCTTGCTGCTGCTGCTGCGGCCGGTAGTCCTCGTCGTCCTCCTCGTCGGCACTCAAGCTGCCGTGGCGGAGCCAGCAAACAGCAACCAAGAACAGGGCAATCGCGGCGAGCGAGAGGAGGGACGGAAAAGAGTGTGCAGAGACGCGCATCTCGCAAGCAGTCCAATCGTCGGTGCACACGTCTCTGTCAACGCACCAGAAGCAGTCCGACGGGCACGCGTCGATGAACGTGCCGCTGCAGCTCGCTGGGCCCGAGCCGAGGTCGCCACCAAGGTCTCCAGCCTCGTCCATCAGCCCCACGCCGCTCCCGCGCCGCACGGCTGCTCGTTCCTCTCTCGTTCCTCCCCTCGTCGCTCCGGCGCGCGCGATTTTCTTTTTTGGGTACTATAAAGAATTCGCTGCAGATGGACTGTGGTGCGAAACAGTGTCGGACACCCAAACGGTTTCGGTTTTCCTCCTTGGTGCCTTCAGCGCGAGAAACTTTTTTGAATCACACAACACCGGTCGAGTGCACGGAGCTGCCTCACCGCCCTCGCGGGAGTCGCTTAGGCGGCTCCCGAGGCGCGGAGTCAATTCTTTTAATCACAAGACTCCTTCGCAGCTGCCCGCCGACGTCTAGGCACCCCCCTCGCCGGTATGCTCAGAAGAGCTTTCGGCAGCGAGAAACAAGTCGACCCCTCAGACGACGACGACCGCTCGAGGCGCTTGCGCTACCGCTGCCGCGCAACCAACGTCCTCACCATTGTCTACCTGTTGAGCCTCCTCCTCATCGCGCTCGCTCTGTCCCTGGCTGATGCTGAGAAGCAGCGGCAGTCCCTGGCTGGTGCTGAAAGTTTGCGGCGATCGGAGTCAGCAGTGCGGCCAGAGAGGCTCGATGCCAGTTGGCCACCGGCACCACAGCCACCACCTGCAGTGGCCTCGCCGCAACCACTGCACCAGCCGCCACCCACAAGACGTCTTGCAGAATTGCGGCAATCAGAACCACCAAGTCCACCTGGTCGGGATGGAAGAGGCAAGCGGTACGGTAACCCAGCCATCAGACTGGACATCCCGTGGTCCGAGCCTAAAGCTAGGTTCCCAGCCACCGATCGCCTCAAAGCTGCCGACGAGGAAGGCACTTACGACGAGCTGGAGAAGCTGCGGATTGCAAAGCGGATAAGGAAGCTCAGAGAGCAGAGGCGTAAGAGCGACCGAGAAGCGCGAATGAACGAGGATGGCGATGAAAACAGCGCGTATCACTATCTATAGCGAAATTACTCGTCACGATCGTCATCGCCGTGACGCGGATCGAGAGTTGGGCCGAGCGCGTTTTTGATCTCTCGGTGAGTGGGCGCCCGCCCGCCGCCTCTGAGGGGGTCGGGCCCCCTAGACTAAAAACAAAAACAAAATGTAGAAACTGTCAAAGACAGCCTGCGAGAGCGGCGCTGCGCGCCGCCTAGGGGACGACGTCAGCGAGGATGTCATGTCGCCGCGTTGCGCGAAGCGCGATGGCGTCACGATCCATTTCGTCAAGCCACCTTCATCGTGACCGTCGCCACCCTCGCCGCCGTCTCGCCTACGTCGCCGCCGTCGGAGAGAGAGATCTCAAAACGCTCTCTCACAACTCTAGGATCTAGGTCCGTACAAACAAAAAGAATGCAGCTGCGGGTTAAAACACATGCGGCATCTCTCCTCTGACACACACACACATGCTGCACATGCGACATGGGCCGCTCTCGCAATCACACACATGCTGCTATGCCACCCTCGCGCGACTCTGCGCGGTGCGGCGCACTGATTGGCACAGCAGCGGAGAACAGGCCCGGCCGCCTCGCAATGAGCTCCTATCACCATCATTGCCGTCACTCCCAAGGCTTGGACTCGTGTGGGGAGGGTGCGCCGCGCCCAAGTAGCGTTGCCGCCCATGCTTGCCCCTCCGACCACAAGCCGCTCCCGATCCACGGGGCGCCACGCCACGGTGTCGTGACCAGCGACCTGGCGGCGACTAGGTGCACCAATCTTGCGGCAACTTGGAGCGAGCGGGGGACGTCCTTTCAGCGGGTGAGACCCTATCAGTGTTGCACATTGGCTCTGAGCAGCAGCGCCTTGTGGCTCTGATTCTTATGGACGAGGGAGGTGATCGTTTTGGAGGGAGGGGGTGATGTGGCATGGTTGAAGGCGGTGGGAGGGGCTAGCAACAAGACGCCGGTTCGTGGGCCGTGATCGACCCAGCCACGCGCTGCGAGCGGCATGTGATCAGGTAGTGCGGTACCACCGGCATGATCAGGGGCCACTTGCGAGGAGTAGAAGGGCACGCCGGCGATGTGCCTTGTGAGGTAAATCGTGGCACAAGTCGGGACAAGACGCCTAGCGGACCCCTGCGGTGGAGAAGGCATGCTAGGCATGCTAAGTAGGCATGGGGACATGGCACCTTCTCCAGGCGTCACCGCCGACCAGGCCGTCTCCTCCCAGGCCGTGGAGCCAGAGGAACAGCGGAAGGGCGGGCTGCTGCGGCTTGTGGCAGGAATGAATAGGCTGCAGTTGAGGCCGTTTGACCGCTGGGCGCGCCAGATGCCGCAGGATGGAGCGACGGCATTGGAGCCCATTGCATTGCAACACGTGCGCTCCAGGAAGATTTTTTGACTTCGAGCTCGCGACCTCGGAGTTTTCCTCACATCACATCATCGCATGATGTACCCAGTCAGCGTTGAGCACTTGAGCACTGGATAGGGTCGATTCCTGGTACGGGACCCATCGATCGTCTCGCCCTCCCTCACCGGGGTGTTCACTGGGGTGGGTCATAACAAACACGGTGCAGGATCGAGGTGCACGCTGCCGAGGCAGTGTCGTCCCCCCTCTCCTCGACGGCGATGGCGGTGTGACCGATCGAGCTACAAGAGGAACTTGTTCAGCAGGATCCGGGATAGTCTGATGCACTACCTCACTGGGCCTGAGACCATCAGCCAGCATCCCGTCACCGTCTCGGGTTTGTGTGGGATCGACCACTCTCCGGAATGGGCAAGCCCATCGTTCATTGTGTTTGTTTATAGAGACCGGTCAGTCAGAAGCGCCCGCCCGAGCACCGAGCACTGAGATAGGGGTCGTTGTGGCGGGCCACCCTGTCCAGAAAGGCACAGGACACAGGTGCCAATCTGGGGTCTCTCGACCGAGTCTATGAGCCCTGGCCGCCTCCCGGTGGTGGCAAGGTTGAGCAACCAAGTGCTCCAACTTTGCGCAAGTCTCTTCGCCCGGCCGGCCAACCGTCGCTCCTTCCTTTTTGGTGTGTCACGTTTCAATTATTATTGATGAGAGTGCTGCTTTGGTGCAGCAGCTCGCGTGACGAGGCGACGAGCGTCATGGTTTACTCACGTGTTCGCGACCGCAGAAAAGACTGGCGCTCTTCGTTCTCGTGTACGGTAAATAAATAAACAAAACGGACACCTCTACTAGGAGATGGGTAAAAAGGAACAGGTCCCCGCCCTGCGGTCTTTGTGCAGGGTTCTTTGTGGGTGTGGTCGGCGACTAGCCGGGGTCGTCCTCCCGATGGGGGACTAGCACTAGCCGTCTTCCACATGGTCCCTCGGGTCCCTGCTGCTCCTAATCTCGTCGTACATCCTCCTGCTGATCTCCGCAACATCCTGCTCCCTCCCTCGTCTCGCCCTGCGCGTACGGTGCTGGTGACCAGCAAAAGATTTTTGGATAGATCCAACGCGATTGGGGTGATCTAGGGGTGGGTTAGGCTGGACCTGATGCGAAAATCCCTCCTTCGCCTCTGGTGTCGTGTAGCGGGTACGTTGGTTCATGGTTGCCCCACGGTCTTTTTTCTGCGCGGCGGTGAAGCCTCTTTCTTGGAGGTTAACCTTCAAGCCCTGATACGTGAAAAACGCGTGCTCATGCCTAGACCGCTAACTCGAGCGAGCCCAGGCAGTGCCGTGATCCTCTCCACCGTGATGCTCCTCGCCGTCATCGTCACCACGACGTGTCAGCTGCGGACGGGCGTCGCCCGCGACATGCGCACGTATACCACAGGCACACTACCTCTGTTTGCGACCTACAGCCGCAGCCGTGTAACGCACGTCGTGACAGCTACGTAAGTGACGGCACGAGGAGCGAACACAATAACAGAGCGCCCCGCCTTCACGTCATGCTTCACGTCGTGTTGTGCCTCGCACACGCAAAGGGTGCGTGCAGCACGCAGCAACGGCCGCAGCTCGAGTTGGCGCAGGAGGGGGCCGGCTGGTTGGAGCAGTACACGCACACAGGCCGCCCACGCGCGTCGTAGCGAGGCTGAGGTAGGGCCGTCGTGTCGTCGGTCGTCGTGTCGTTGCTGAGCTGCATCGCCTGGGTCGTGGTGTCGTCGGTCGAAATCGTCGTGTCGTTGGCTGAGGCGGCCGACGCCTGCGCCGTGGCGGCGGCCGCCTGCGCGGCCGCCTGGACGAATCGGTCGATTCTGGCGGAGATTGTGGTGGCGTCGTCGACAACTTGCGTGTCGTCGGTGGAGAAGAGGGTGGTGTCGTCGTCGTCCGCAATGGTGGTGGTGTCGTCCTCCTCCGCCGCCGCAGGCGCCGCTGCCGGCGCGGCGGGAGGAGGCGGCGCGGGCCGCGGCTGCGGCCGCGGCAGCTCTTCCCTGCAGTTGCAGCACGTCGGGCTCGCCGCCTCGCTCAGCCACTGCGCCATGCAGTTGATGTGGCACGCCGCGCCACAGCAGAGGGTGAGCATGTTGCAGTGCTCCTCGAGGCAGATCATGCACGGGTCCTTCCTCGCTCTCTCGCGGTGCTTGCGCAGCGTCTCCGCGCTCGCCGCCTCGTCCCTCTGCGCGCGAGCGCGCTCGCCCAGCCGGTCGAGCTCCTCCCACACACGGCTCAGGTGGTCGGCGAGCAGCGTCGCGAAAGGCGCCACCGAGCCGCTCCCCTCCCGACTCGCGATGATGGCGCCCACGTAGCCTGCGCGGTGCTCCTCGGTGGCGCAGACGTTGATGACGAAGGGGACGCCGCGCATCCGCAGCATCGCGTTGGCCACAAGGCGCGACATCCTGCCGTTGCCGTCGTGGAACGGGTGGATGGAGAGGAGGCCGTGCGCCGCGGCCGCCGCCAGGCCGAGGTGCGTGATGTCGGGTCGCGAGCACAGCGCGATCACCGCCGCGACGTGGCCGTGCATCAGGGCGTGGACCTGCTCGGCCGGCGCAAACTCGATCGAGCCGACCCTCGCGGGTGTGCTCGTGCGGAGCACTCCGGCGTGCGGCGCGTCGCCCAGAAGCGTCCGGTGCACGCGCACGAGCAGCTCGACAGAGAGCGGCGCGCCGGAGTCGAGCTCGCGAAAGAGGAGCTCGAGCGCGGCGCGATGGTCCTGGACGATGCGAGCCGCGCCGAGCGCGTCGTGGCTCTTGCGGGTGTTGGAGCGCAGCGAGAGGGCCTGGCGGTCGATCTGCGTCGCCGCGAGCCCGGCGACCAGGCTTGCGTGCTCGCCGGCTGCCGTGATGACGCCGGCGTCCGAGGAGCCAGAGACACGCTTGAAGAGGAGCGAGACTCTAGACGTCGCCGTCCACTCGTTGATGCTGTCGGCGATCGAAGCGTGCAGCGTCAGCCGCTCCTCGCACGCCTCGGCCTGGGCTCCGACCGCGTTGAAGCGCGATGGCGCGGCGTTGACGTTGTGCTGGACCCATGCCTGCCAGTCGGCGCACCAGAGCGAGGAGGGCCGAAGGCGGCTGGCCGACATCGGACAACGCAGGGTTTCTGCGCGGTATGGATAGGGCGTCCACTCCGGGACGCTGGCGACCTTCCAACCACACTACAAAAAAGAAATTATTGCGCACGCAGTGCGCGGGCCGCCAGCTGCAGTGTGGTTATCAGAAGACGCTGCAGCTCTCCTCGACGCCCATCGAAAGAGGAAATGCTGGCCGTGGCCTTCGTCCCGCTTGTCCTCGCCAGGGTCGCCGCGCCCTGCGCGTACGAGCACGCCGGCCATCACTTCGACTTGCGAGGCGCTGTGCCGTCCGAGTTGAGCGCCACGTCGGAGAGCGGCTTCAGGTATTTTATCTCGGCGTGCGGGCCGACACAGACTGTGTGCAACGGCGCGCCTTCGGTCGGCTCCAAGTGGCGCGGCACAAAGTGCAACAACCTGGGCGACGAGGCCACGCGCAGCCTGTCGCTCCTTGACGCCCGAGACCCGCGCAAGGGCGTAAACATCACCTACCGCAAGGGTGACGTCTGCCTGCGCGGGACGGACGAGACGGTCGACATGGGCTCTCGGAGCCTCACCCTCTCTCTCGTGTGCGACCCGAGCGTGAGCGAGGCCAAGCTGCGTGGCGTCGCTGAGCCGTCAATGTGCGAGACCGTCGCGACCGTCGTCACACATCGCGCGTGCCCGTCGACGTCAAGCTCGTGGGCCGGGCGACTCGTCGTGCTCCTACTGCTCGCGGGTGGGGCAGCCGCCGCCTACCGCCACGGCTTCTTTCGACCCGGTGGGCCCGCCGCTCAGCAGCTCGGGAGGTGGCAGGACGGAGCCGTGCGAGCCCTCTCCTCGGTGGACGAGGGGGCGAGTAGTCGTCCGATATGACGGCCAGCCATACAAACGATAGATAGATCTATCACCCACGCAATAACCAAAAACCAGAACGTTTGCCGCACCGCCGTCTCGCAAAACGTCGGGTGGTCGGGAGCTCCTACTACGGTCCTAAAGCCGTAGGCGCGATGCACAGATCCAGGCAGCAGGTAAGACCGTTCGAGCACCCCTCCATCTGTGAGGCCTCGCCTTCGTGTGCGCACGGATCTGCGCGGTGCCTTTGGGTGGCGCTCTCACAGGCGCTGTGCCTGACCCCTGCGCGCTTGGACACGTCGTGGCACGCTCTTTCGAGCGCGTTGCCGGATCTGCGTGATCATGCCTCATGGATCGTTTCACGTTTTGTGCCAGCGCTTCGCTAGTATGACTGGCACGGCACGGCGGAAGGAAGGTGAATTGCCGTGCTCAGGCCAGACCTTCCTTTTCCTGGCACGCGTGGCAGTTGCCGTTGAAAGGGTGGATGAACTCCTCCGCGTCAATAGGGCGAAGGCAAGAGGGGCAAGTGTCCTGCTCCTCCTCCGTCTCCTGCTCCTCGTCATCGTCGTCGCTGCAGACGATCACGCGCCGACTCCGCTTCTTGACGGCCCTCGCCTTGACCTGGTGGGCCGCAGGATTGAGCAGCCGCGAAACCATCCTGCAGTGAACGTGCATGGCCTTACACACATCGAGGTGACGACGACGCGATATGAGGCTGCGCGCACTCTTCTTTGGTTCCGCCCTTTGCGACGCCGGTTGCCGCGCAGCGTGCCTGTGGACGCCGTGGCTAATGTAAGGCGCCTTGGGCAAGAGGCGAGATGGCCACGGCGCAGCACTGCACCTTGAGCTCCTTGGCGCTCAGTCGTCTCAGCGTCACCTCCTCCGATCGCGCGAGCAGGCTGCTCGACATCCGAAGCTGTCGATGTTGAAGCGGTCCCGCGAAAATAAACGAGGGCTGCCCCGGACCGATTTACGCCCCGGCGGGGATGGATTTGCGGGTTTCCCCGTGCCGCGAGACTTGGGCGGTATCTCCCGCGATGTGTCGCGGACAAACCCAAGTAGACGCCCCTTGGGCGGGATCGCGTCTTACTTACACAAGAGGAACTATAACACATCGCTAGTCATGTACAATCATGAGAACTGGGTCCAGGCCCCATAGTGAGGTGGTCTCCCAGTCTAGCGCACCTCGCGCCCGGCGGGCGGCGACCTGTCCGTCCACCGACCCCTCCGCCCGCGCGTGCCAACGCCGCCTCCACCGCCGAGTCGAAGAGCCGATGTAGACCCGTCGTCCGTCCACCGTGTGGTACGCCGCGAAGCGGCCCGACGCCCAGGGAAGTCGGCAGCCGCGCGAGCCCGACGCCTGCTCCTGCTTGCGCACGCCTGCGTAGCCGGTGCTGCTGCGACTCGAGAGGTGCAGCCGCCAGCCCTGCGCCTCTGTCACCACCGCCGGCGCCTCCCCCGCGGGGCCCATGTGGGATGGACCTGCGAAAGCGCGGGGAAGGGAGAGTGCATTCAGAAGGCAGAACCTGAGCACAAGTGGGGGGCTTGCTCGCGAGCCTTGACTTGCATCGACTTGATTACAACGCGGAGCCATCGCGGGTAGCCAGAGGCGGCGGACCGATCAGCATGGGCGGCGTGTCATTCTGCAGTCGATCGCCGCCGAGCGGCATAGCGGCGCCGTCGCGGGTAACCAAAGGCGGCGGGACGGCGGGAGAGGGCGGTGGTGCGGGCGGTGATGCTGATGATGTGGCCATTGGCCGCCGCCGCGTCCTCTTTGCGAGCGCTCTCGACTTCCGTCCCTTTTTACGCTTGTCCCCCCCCTTGCTCGTGTGTCTGACTTTTCGCCGGGTCAGGCCACTTAAATAAATAAAACGGACACCTCTACTAGGAGATGGGTAAAAAGGAACAGGTCCCCGCCCTTGCGATCTTTGTGCAGGGTTCTTTGTGGGTGTGGTCGGCGACTAGCCGGGGTCGTCCTCCCGATGGGGGACTAGCACTAGCCGTCTTCCACATGGTCCCTCGGGTCCCTGCTGCTCCTAATCTCTTCGTACATCCTCCTGCTGATCTCCGCAACGTCCTGCTCCCTCCCTCGTCTCGCCCTGCGCGCCTGCTCCGCCTCACCGTCGTCTGCCCTGCGTCGTCTGGTGACGGGTCCTCCATAGTCGGTTGAGGTCGCCGCCCTCCTCGTGCCTCTTCCCAACGTTCCCTCGGCGGTCGATGCCGTCTGGTCCGCCTCCGCCATCCCCGGGTCTGACCTGCCCTCGTCTGCACTAGCTTCTGTTTCGTCATCACTGGCGCCTCTCCTCTTCTTTCTCCTCTTCTTGTATGCTTTGTACATTGCGTCGATTCCTTTTCGCGTGAGCACCACCCTGAAGCTCGCCCAGCAGCGGAACCGCTCCCTAAGTCGAAGGAGCATCATCAGTCTCACCCACTTCGCTCGCTGCCCACTGTCTCCGCTCCCTCCCGCTTGAGCTGCCGTCGCGGTCCTCGTTCGTCCCGCTGGCTGCTGGCCTGTCTGCACGTTGCCTCCGTTATCCCTCCTCCTCCGCGACTCCCTCAAGGCCGGGCGGGCCTCCTTCCACCCAGCGAAGAGCTTCCTCAGCCACTCGATGTGTTCCTCTCTCTTCATTATGCGCGCCGTAGCCTCATCATTGAGCTGTATCCACCTCTGCACCGCTCCCGTCGCCGCCTCGGCCACGACTTGCAGGTTCCTCGTGACCCCGGTGCCAAGGTCCCTTCGGCTCTTCTCCGAGAGGTCATCTACCAGTGCTGGCAACACCCCCCCGACTGCGGGGGCTAGTGTATCGTACCCGTCCTCGTCCAGCACCCTGTAGCGTGAGCCCTTCAGCGCAGCGACATGCGCCATCCTCAGC